AGTTAAAGGGTCACACAAAGACTTGTCTATATTCTAAGCCCCCGTTTGGCCCCTATTCTATCCAAATTTTAATGGTTAGAATAGTGTTTTTTTGAAAAATGTGGTTGAAAAAGAATTAAAAAATTTTTGTTCGCGTGTAATATTATTTTATAGAAGATTGTGTGATTGAAAATAAGAGAGAAAATAAGAATGAGGAGGTAAATGAGAATGAGGGCAAGGGCACAATTTGTACAATTTTTGTCCCCCACTTTTTACAGGTAAAAATAAAAACAATTATTATGTTGGTATGTTGTGGCATCTGTGCCCACTTTTTTAATCATTTACTTTATCGATTACTTCACATCTTACACAAGTGTACGAGAATGACAAATAATCTGCACCCGTCGATATTGAATTATTCAACATATGTATAGTTGGAAAAAATTCAATATAAACAACAACAAAAATAATAATCGTAATAATATATAATATTTAAATGATGCAAGAAACCAGCTTTGATGTTAACAAGTCCAAATTGAATTTTTGGGTGTTAATTCTAGAAAAGGTATTTTTTTTTTTTGTCGTTGTTATTATAATTTTTTTTGTTTTTTATTTTTGCTTTTGGAAGAGACATTTTGAATGTGCTAATCTATTTACTTATTAAAAAACTCCACAAAAATACATAAAAATAGAAAAATTAATCGATTAAGGAGATCGATGGTAATGCACTACTTGTTAGTCGTTGTCTTGAGGTAAAGAAGTCCGAATTGAATTTGTGAATTTGGTTCTAGAAGATTTTCATTTTTATTTTTTTTAATACCTGTGGGCCTCGAAGAGATAATTTTGAATGAGAATTACTATTTATTTAGTGGGCCATTCTCAATATATTTAACAAATATTAATTAACTTCTTTTCAATTTAATTTTTTAAGATTATAGTAAAACATTATTGAGGTTGGAATTTGCAAATTAATTTTAATCAATATGTATCATAGAAATTAATTGAAATATAAAAACTATATGGGAGTCAAGAGTTCAAGATGATACACCTTCAAAAAGCTTTGCACACCTCTATTTTTGATATATATAACAAAATTATTATATACACTTGCACATCGATTTGTCTCAATTCTCCGATAACTATTTAACAAACTCTTGGTACATATCAAATTTCTATCACTACTCCGATTTTTGAGACCAACTCTTTCAACCACTCAAACATCCATCCCCTTAACGCTGCCTGCCCTATCTATTCATTTAGTGGTGTGTAAGGGCCAATGTATATTATTAAGTCGTCATTTGGATGGAATATGTGATAGATGACGATTCATTCAATCTCGATGTTCAAATCAACATTGTCTTCATCACGCTCTAAGGTATTACATATAAAAATAATAACCAATAAATAATTATAACAATTTATGAACTATTAAGAATGAGATATAATAAAAGCTCAAAATGCTCATGAAACGTGCCATTGATCATTTTAAATTTTATAATTGTTATTCTTATTACCATTATGCTTTCAGCTTTTATCAATTCGTGACGTATGTTATCTGATATTGGTTTCAATCTCGAATAGAAGTTTTGGCGCAGCTGCCAATGGCTAGGCAGCAATAGTGATACGATAGCGTCATGTTTAATTATAAGAAATTATTGCACTTTCTATGGTCAATAGTGATTCTTAAAATGAAGGATTATGGTACTTATACATAAAAATAGTACATAAGTAATTACATAAAATGATATAGGGAGAAAATATTGAATGAAAGAAATGATTGCATTTTAAACTGAAAAATGATAGAGTAATAAGTGACATTATGTCATTCATCTGTCAATTATTTTATCAATTTTCTTTTTCCAATAACGTCCATCTCTTGAAAAATTTGATAAATATATCATTTTCTTGGAATTGTCATCAAATTTATAGTACGAATTATGAATCATTTTCATTAAATTAGGCTAAATTGAAGAGAGTTTTTAGTCCATATAAATACCATTTTTCTTCAAATTTGCACAACTTTTGAACCACACATTTCAAAGTTAACAATTAATTAACAATATACATCTCATAAGACCCACATTTTCAACAACATATTTCTTCCGCTTTTATCAAAATCTACTAAAAGTATGATTTTGATCTCCACCAAACAGGGGCTCAGATTAAAATTTGGATTTTAGTTACAAATAGGGACTTAAAAAAATAAATAAATAAACATTGCAGGATGAATATAATTTTGACAAAAAGTGTAAAAAATGAAAAAGGAAAATTTTGTACATGTTAAGTCTCTAATTACAGAAATTGTACAACGGTAAGAAGCGAAGTTTCCCTTCTTGACTTATTAATGCCCAAAATTTGAAACGAGCTATATCTCTAATATGTATGTATAAATATTTAAGATTTAGATGTTTTCATTAATTTAAATCAGAGTAATGTTATTCATTAGCATTGCTTATCCCTAAGCAGTAATATATCATCAATTGACTTGTCAGCATTATTCTTCGGATTAACAGAGCAAAACTATTCCAATGACGTTTTAGACTAGCCTAGTCATCAATACGACAATTAGATTAAGGGTCCATCAAGCTCATTCTTCTGTATAAGTAGATATATTGTGCCTAGTCATGAACTAAGTAAAGAGCGAAAAACCATGGAGAACTCACTTTGTCTCAATCTTAGTCGTGTCAAAAAAACTAATCTAATCATAAACAGGCTGCATATTTTCACTCATGGCTTTGCACTTTTGGCCCTGATTTATTATAGATCAAATTTTCTTTTCCAAATGATCAAAATCAGGGATAAAAACACACCATTTTTGCCCCATGCTTTAGTGTTTTTTTCTGAGCTTATACTCTCTTTTCTTTGGCTATTGAGCCAGGCTTCACAAAGGAAACCGATTTCCCGAAAAGTTTTTCCAGAAAGATTGCCTGGAAATGATAAACTTCCATCCATTGATGTGTTTATTTGTACTACAAATCCCATAAAAGAGCCTAGTGTAGATGTTATGAATACTCTTATATCAGCAATGGCCCTGGACTATCCTGCGGATAAACTTCATGTGTATCTCTCGGCTGATGGGGGCTCTTCTGTGACTTTCCAGGTAGTTAAAGAAGCCTGGAAATTATTGAAATGGTGGATTCCATTTTGCAGGAAATACGAGGTGAAGACGAGGTGTCCCATGGCTTATTTTTTAGCAGATGAAAGTGAGGACGGAAATGAAAAGTTTAGCAGCACTGAATTCATTGCTGAGAAGAAGAAGATTGAGGTTGTGATATTTATTATGTTGTTACAATTTTCCATGTTTTTTCCATAGATCTGTCTGAAATATTGAGGTACTTCCCAGTAGCTACCTGAAATAATGGGGAATTTGTGGTGCAGGAAAAGTATGAAGAGTTCAAGTGTAGAATACTGAGGGTCATAGAAAATACGAGCAGTTTTACTAGCAGAGATCATGATCCTTTAATTCAGGTTTGTGCTAATTTTTAAGCAATCCATGTACTGCGTGTACTAGGTGTATCCTTTGTCAATGAAGCATTTTTTTTACGAACTATTGGACAGGATTTGACACAGAGTCATTGCTTCACAACATATTGTTCTTACATATGAAATTTTACTGTGCTAGGTGATTAACGATGGAATTTGTGGAGTGGATTCAGATGAAACAGAGATACCTCTCCTTGTTTACGTCTCTCGTGAGAAAAGGCCTTTTCATCCGCATCATTTTAAAGCTGGAGCGCTCAATGTCCTTGTATACAATTGTTTTTCCCAGAGAACATATTATTTGCGCTTGCACGTGTTTATTTCCTTATTTCTCTGCGTTCTTACAAATATTTGATTATTCATGTATAATTTGCAGCTTCGCGTATCCGGTTTGATCAGCAATTCTCCGTACATACTAGTGTTGGACTGTGATATGTACTGCAACGATCCGACATCAGCCCGCCAAGCAATGTGTTTCTTTCTTGATTCCAAAATATCCCCGAAACTTGGTTTTGTTCAGTTCCCACAGAAATTTCACAATATCAGCGAGAATGACATCTACGACAGTCAGTTGAGATTTGTTTGGGTATAATACTGAAACCTTTTCACTTTTCAGCAATGTGTTTATGGTAAAAATTCCTATTTAATCCATTAATTTTATCTTTCGCCTCAACATTCAGCCGAAATTGGAAGGCATGGATGGGCTTACGGGGTCTTTGTTAGCAGGTACCGGTTTTTACATAAAGAGGGAAGCGCTCTATCAAACTTCCAACGTCCAAGAGGGTATATTGATTCATATAACTACTTTGAAAGAATTCTTATTTCAAATCGAAATCCATATTTTTTTTTCCCTCTTAACAGAACCATAATCTGCATAGCTATTCAATAAAACATTCTAGTTTTTACTCTATACGCAGATATAGATCTTGTGCAGCTACAAAAGGTATTTGGTCCCTCCAATGATTTCATCAAATCACTTCAACAAAATTACAAACCAAATTCATTTAAGGATGAAGTGTTTTCTGGAGTATCGCTGAAAGAAATCAGATTTCTAGCCTCTTGCGGTTACGACAATAACACAAAATGGGGCAAAGAGGTAAGAACAAGATTTCGAAAATACCTCATCTCCCCCTCATTCAACCCATTATATCAAATAGGCTATTACTTATTATTGAGGTCGTGAAAGATGATGCACTAAGTGCAGGTGGGATTCAGATATTTTTCTGTGCTGGAAGACTACTTTACTGGCTTCAATTTACATTGCAATGGTTGGATTTCAGTTTATTTGAATACAGCAAGGCCATGTTTCTTGGGTTCAGCTACCACAAATCTCAACGAGATTTTAGTTCAATACACACGATGGGTAGCTGGATTGGTGGAAGTTGCTATCTCGAGGTTTTCTCCTCTTATATACGGGCCACTGAGAATGTCGACTCTTCAAAGCATGTGTTACGCAGAATTTGCCTATGATATCTTAATCTTCTTGCCTATTTACTGTCTAGCCATTGTTCCTCAACTCTGTCTGCTTCATGGCATTCATCTCTATCCCAAGGTGCGTTTTTAAGCACTGTTTGTTGCAACACGCAAAAGACTTTTAGGATTTTAGAGCATGTTAATTATGCACAATTTTTATCACACGGGACAGACGACAGTAAACAACTCTTTTAACTTATATATTCATTTAATAATGTTGAACACTATCTAATCCAACTCACCAAATGTACTATCATAGTCTTTTAGATTCTGATCATAAGATTTTATCTTAGCCATACTTTGCTAACACTGGATTCGTTCGTTTTTAAGGTGTCGAACCCATTTTGCACCGTGTTTTCATTCCTATTCCTCTCATCTCAACTCAAACACATACAAGAGATCTTCTCGACTGGACATTCAATACGAACATGGGCCATAGAACAGAGAATTTGGATGCTAAGGTCACTTACCTGTTACATGTATGGAACTTTAAATGGCATTTTGGAGATGACTGGTTTAAGAGAAGCCAGTTTTTCGCCGACAGATAAGGCAGTAAACGACGAACAATATAAACGTTATCAAATGGGAATCTACGATTCTCAGGCATCAGTTCTGTTATTAACTCCATTGTGCACCTTATACATTCTAAATTTAGTAGCCTTCATAATTGGTGTCGTGAAGATTTTTCATATTGAGCAAGCGAGCGAGATTTTTATACAACTTTTCATCCCATTATTCGGCATATTGATCAATTATCCATTGTTTGAAGGGATGTTCTTGAGGAAGGATGACGGGAGAGTTGCACCATCTATTACACTTCTCTCTGCCGCCCTTTGTATTATTATTTTGTCTTTTGGATCCCTTGTTCTTATTTATTAAGTGAAAATGCATGTATTGTTTTAGAATTATTAGGCTTTTCATTCAAGACATTGAAATTTGTACTATAATGCACAATCCGTTAAGAGTGTTCCAAAGTGAAAATGCAAGTAATTCTTTATTTTTTGGATTGATTTTTCTTTTCATTTCTGTTGGAGAAACGTATAGATATTATGAAAGACTACAAATATATATGCTTAAACAACTTAAATAAAAATCTAAGTGCCATAATTCTTAGAAAATATAGAGCACTTTCCAAAAAGAAATAATTAGCCTAGGAAATACATAAACTATTTAAAAAGACTAATAAAATCATAACAATTTTCCATATCAAAAATATTTTCACCTGTGTAAGAATACAAACAACTTTCTAGATCCAAATTTTATGAGGTTTCCTTTGTCACTTATTTTTGTCCATTCTTTAATCAGAGGTTGCGTTTTGCAATTGGTCTCTAGAATACAAACAAATGGCAAGAAAAACATTATAGACATCCCCAAAAATAAACAAATACAAGAGCATGTAGAAGGGTTATGGAAAGTAGATATAGTAATGTTTGAGTTGAAGGGATTGTTGTTTCTGCATATAATTTTATTCTTTCGAATAATCTAAAGATTCATTTACTTCCAGGTTTACCTGAATGGATTTTTAACAGTTTAATTGGGTGATTAATAGGATCATAATGTTAACTCAAATCAACCGACTTCACGATATATCCTTAAAACGAATATTCTCCCTTCTATGATATGTAAAGGCATTAAGCAATTATCTCCAAAGATAGAACAAATTTTGTTTCCTATGAAAGTAAAACAACAATTTAAATGAGTTCCAACGAACTTAATGAAGTGTTTTATACTTTGAAGAACAATTTCAAAATAAGGGAAATGAGATTCAAATTAAAGATTTTTTTTATTTTATTATTATTATTATTATTATTATTATTTTTGGTGTAAATGTTTTGGCAGCTGAGTATGTTATTTATAAATTTATTCATGGCTATTCAAACTCTCTACAAACGTTTTCAGAACAATGGTGACTATTAAGACAGCTTCCGAAAACAAATAGACAGCTCTATTTGGATTGAAATACTCTGTCGATTAAAGGTCTATTAACAAATGTCCGTTACATCAATTAAGAGATGTCTGTTACATCGATTAATAGACATACCTAGACAATCACAATAGAAAATATGTGAAAATAAGACAACGGTAAGAAATTTAAAATATCGTTAAAACTAATTTCAAAAATATCCTAGAATTTGATTGATAACAATTTGGTCCAAAATTTTAAAATAGATTTTGTCTAAAAAATTATACGTAAGACAATGACCCACCTGCACTATTCACGAACTGAATCAAATCAGACTGGGACTTTGACACGAGCTCGAACCCTAGCATGTGTCATGTTGAGTTGAGGCTAAGTAGGCTAAACAGACGAACGGCGACGATGACACACATACATGTGGATGAGGATCGAGCCCAATAGAATATGGGTCTCTCATCATTCAAAAACTAGTGGTAACCCTACGGATCCAGATCCATTTGCTAAACTTCTAATATATGAACCACACAAAAGTTTCAAAGTTTTCCACGTGGGATAAGTGCTTAACGATTTCCAATTACATCAATACTCCACTTATTTGAAGTTTCAAGTAGATAACTTTGAAATCAAATATTTCATTCAATTTTGAATTGTTTTTCAATGAATAAATATATCATGTTAGTCACATCTTGGAGTAGAACATGAATATGCTTGATCCTGTTAATATCAAAGTACGGGTCCCACTGAAATCGAAGCTCAATGTTGACCTATTTTACAACTTAATATTAAACAATTTACAACAATCTCCTACATAAAATGAAATATGATGGCTTTTCCAAAATAACAGCTGACGCAAAATTTCAAGTACAAATGAAGAGAACTTGCATCATGATAAAGCAGCCAGAGACTATGAACTATTTCTAGTAAAATCTATAGAACTTATTGGGCCAATCATAGCAAGGTAATTTGAACAATAACCCATTAGTGTAAACCCAAATAATAGAAGTCACTCAATTCCATTTGAGCACAATTAGTTTTCATTTTTGGTCCATTTTGGCCTTAGAACCTCCTGGTTTATTATTACTTTTAGAGAATTCAACTTCACATCATAGAATCAACCCTTCTCACCCGCATAGGTGATCCCCATAAAGATTGTTCTCACCTATATAGAGATCATTAAAAGCTTGACTTAACCTTATTTCATGGGTAGTAAGGCACTATCTCATCGTAGGAATTGGTCAGAGAAATAAATTTTCCCAGTTAGTGTGTACTGATTTTTTTACAGTTCCATTGTCCTATTGAACCTAGTTCTTGGGATCTCTAGTTAACTAGGTAGAGTTGCATCATGAAAACTCTATTTCATTATATTGGTTTTGACCACATCCTATTTAATTTACTTTCAACTTGCTCTCTCGTTAAACTTTTAGTTAGTGGATCTATAATGTTCTCTTCTAATTTTCATAATCTATAGAGATAATACAGTTAAGAGCAATTGTTTAACGATGTTATGTCTATGATGTATATGTTGAGATTTACTGTTATACATGACATTAGGTACTCTTTGAATTATCGATTGACTATCACAATGGATACATATAATAAGTACAGGTTTTACCCAATATGGAATATCTTTTAAAAAGTTTTGTAACCATTTGGCTTTATCCCAACTTAATCAAGTGCAATGTTTTCGGATTCCATTGTTGATCTAACTATACATGTTTGTTTTGAAAACTTCTATGATATTACGACACTTCTTCCAAGTGTGAAGACATATCCACTTGTAAACTTGGAGCCTTTAGTATCTGATATCTAATTAGCACCACAATATCCTTTGAGCAGTACTAGATATCTTTAATAGTGCAATTCGATGTTCTTGGTAGTTTTATATATGCTTTAATAGTGCATCCATGATGTCTTTATAGAAATAATGTCATATTTCTTGTACTTAATTATCAAGAATTTTCTCAATATAGTGTGATTGAGAATGAGACAATCGGATAATTTAGAAATTTTAATACTTAATATAGTATCAGCGACACACAAATCCTTAATTTCAAACTTACTCGTTAACATCCTTTTAGTAATTTGATTTATGGTATCATTATTATCCATAATTTGCATGTCATCAATGTATAAACATATAATGACTTATCCATCATGATTACTATTGGCATATGTACCTTTGTCACACTTATTTATTTTAAAGCCATTAGTTGACACTATAATCGTGTCAAATTTTTCATGTTATTTTTTAAGAGCCTGCTATAATCCTTAAAGCTATTTAACAAGTCGATAAACTTTCTTTTCTTGTCCTTGCTGACAAATTCTTAATGTTGCTCCATATAAATTTCTTCATCTAATTTACCATTCAAAAAAGTTGTTTTAACATCATTTAATGTATATTCAAATTATTCAGCGCTGTAATTGCTATAAGCACACGTAGGGAAGTAATCCTTGTTACATGTGAATGTGTATTGAATAATCAAAACCTTCTTTCTTCTTGTAGCCTTCAGAGACAAGTCTAGTTTTGTACTTGCCAATTGATCTATCTGCATTCATTTTCTTTTTGAAAATTCATTTACACCATAGTGGCTTATTATCTGGTGGAATGTCTACTAATTCTCGTATATAATTTTATAATATGGATTCAATTTTATTGGGAACAATTTCTTTCCAATATGAAATTTCGATGGATTGCATATCCTCTTTATAACTTCGGGATTTATTTTTTAAGAAATATGTTGGAAAATCAAGTCCAAAGGAGGTTGTTGTCCTAGACATCTTACTACATCTATGTCCTTCCTCGTTTATAGATTCTTGATTTATAACCACTTCATTTTAATGAGGTCTCTTTATTGAATTTAATTCACTTTGCATGTTATAAGAAAAAATATTTTTGAAATATGTAGCATCCCTCGATTCGGTAATCATAATAACATGTATATCGGGGATTTCAGACTTATGTTCAATAGATTTGTACGCACTACTGTGGTATGCATGACCAATGAACACACATTCAATAGATTTAGGTCATATCTTAACCTTTTTAGTTTAAAGAATCACTACCTTAGCCAAACATTCTCATAGTATTAAGTATTCTATAGTTAGGCTTATGACCTTTTCATGACTCATAAGGTATCTTATGTATTTTACGATGTTGTAATTTATTGAAAATATAATTGACAGAGAGGAAGGCTTCCGCCCACAAGTTCTACAATAATCTGAAAGTTATCAACATAATGTTCACATCTCATTTAATGTTCGATTCTTGTGTTTAGCAATACCGTTAAAATTGAGGAAAATAAGGTGCGGTAGTTTGATGAATAATTCCATGTTCCAAATAGAATTGTTCAAGCATAAAATTATATTAACTTCCTCTATTGTTTCTTAATTATTACGTTAATCTTTTTGCTAAGCTAATTTAAAGCTCTAACTTAAATGTTTTTAAACATTTCAATTATCTCATCCGTGCTTTTGAGTAAATACATATAGCAATATTGAATGAAATTATCGATAAAAGTAATAAAATACTTTATACAATTTTTAATTTGAACAAACTTTAAATCACATACATTAGAACCTTTTTGATAGAACAAAAGGATAAACGAGCCATTTTCACTTCCACAAAATATATAGTATTTATGATTAGGATATAAATCATACTTTAGTAATAAATACAATTTGATTAGTCTATGAAAAGTAATAAAGTTTACATGTCCTAATCGTTATGTCAAATGTTAAACAACTCAAGTTTGTAAAAAGAAAATTTTATTTTATTCATAGTAAGAGGAGCAATAGTCATTTCATTTATTTTAAAGAGCCCCTCATTTAGATAGCCCTATCCTATAGATATTGCATTCATAGTAAGTATAAATTCGTGTGATACAAATACTAACTTAAAACTTATTATTTCTTAAGAAGGAGCCAGATGTTGGAAATTTACTTAATCAAGCACAACTAAAAATAGAACAAATTTGAATTCCCACCAATGGATCTTTTTTGATAAATAAAGAATTATAACTTTGATAAATTCTGCAAATTCCTTTGCTAATCTTGGAACACGAACAATCACAATATGCAATCTACAGATA